AAACAAAAACTTTGTTGTGCTGTGGAATTTAGTTGAGGTTCATATTTCCGTTTCCAACCTCTATTCTTAGTGATGGCAACCAGGGACGATCCATTCCACAGAGCTATTTGGAATACAATAGCATCTCGTAAAACAGGCTGAGAAATGGTTCAATGCTAACCTTTTGAAATTAAATAAAGATAAAACTCAAACTATCACATTCTCTACTAATAATAATATAGCAAAAGGTGAAACTGTCAAACTATTAGGCATCACCCTAGACGATACTCTGAATTGGTCATACACCATAGAAGAATTAGGCTCGAAACTTTTCAAATATCAATTTCTACTCAGGCAATTGAAGAATTTTGTCAACTTGGACACTCTTATATCANGTTCTGCCCAACTGTAAGGAATTTCAAATTTTAAAATCAAATTGGTATTCCTGCTGCCCTCGTAACCCAAGTCTTTCTATTTCAACGTACCGCAAATATACAATTCTCTTTGAGAGGCGATATTGTTTTCCTTTCATTTCATGCTCGTTCACTTTCACTCAGTTCTGAAACATTTTCCAGTTTCCACTAATGTTATTTCGTCAGCCCGAATGAATCAACACACCTACTTCGAGTCAACTCAACGAATTTTCGAAATTACCCCCAACTGTCAAACTTTCTCGGTCGAACGAAAACATTTCCAACAACTTTTCTCGACAAACAAGTTAGTCGTCCACAAGTGCCATTATGGTGAATGTATCATTCGAATCGTTATTTGACTCAAGTAAATTCATGATTGGAGCAAAGCTACGCAAACAAGTTGTTTAAAAGTCATAAACAATTAAGTTGAAAAAGTTAAAAAATTTGTGATACCAACATTTAAAAATAAACTACGCAAAATGAATATATACACATGTCTTTAAAATGCAATAAGTAAAAAAATATGTATTATTTTGTCAAACATTTATATTTATAAAATAGTTTATTTACAGGTGCCTTTATTGAACTCAACTTACATTGTTTTCAAAATGCTGTTTGGTAATACGATTAAAAAGAAATACAAATGAGTCAAAAACAAATAAAATTTATATCAGAAAAAAATTAGGAAAAATGTACATTAATAGCCTGCCCAAACATTTACTTT